CTTACTGACTATCACATTGGACCTGCTAAGAGAGCAAGATATGATTTTGCAGGAGAGTAACTCGGGTACTTATTTTACACAAACTTGCAACTTTATGCATCAGTCCACTTGATAGTAAATATTCCCCCTGCAGGGCTTTTATCCTGGTCTGTGGACAGTAGATAATTTTGATTGGCGTATTATTCAAAATGTAATGCAGGATTTTTATGTGAATCTGAAGACAGTTCAAAATTGTAAGATTCTACCCATCTTAAAGGAGAAGATAGACTTTAATTGGAGTGGACCTTAAGGCACATCTTGAAAGATATGGGATTTCAATGGAAAAAATGCAGTTCCAAAAGGAAGATTCTTATCGAAAGACCAGATTTGTAAACTATAAATTATAATCCATAAACCTGACTTCTTCTCTGTGACTTGAACCCATGACAGCAATCAGATTTGTGATTTGAGCGTACATACAAATATACATAACCACAATTCCAACTTTACATTTCATTTAAAAACAATTTGTATTTTCCTAGGAATTTACTCACTATTTTTAGCAAATTAAAATTGACAGGAAATAAATTAATTATGGTAGGCAGAGTACATTAGCTCATGACATACGGCCTGTATAAGCTGAAGGTGTTTTTCGGTCAGCTAGTAACAGAATTCTACCCCACCTCCCTCAAAGATGTCAGGTCTACTCTCGTGCCTCGCGGACAATACATAATTTGATAGAAATTTTCAGGTGCAACATACCCTACTGATACATTTTCAACTTTGTGCTGCTAAATCATCTAACTCAGCACAGACTTATTTTATCTAAACTGATTTTGCAAGTGTTGACATGAATCAGGGTCAACTAAAACTTAAGGCTTGTTCACACACAGCCAGTAATTTAGTCGAGTAGCGAGTAGTTTAGTTACTTACCATGTGCGGACATTAAAATTTAGTCGAGTAGTTTAGTGAAACGATTTAGTCAAGTAGATTCATTTCATTATATTTTTTCGGTCGAGTAGGCTTCACCAACCCCTATACAACTGAGCTCAGACACACGACTGCTGCTGGCTCACTCCCCCAAGAGACCACATGTGAGTCCCCCCGCCTACTCTCACTTAATACAAACGATACTTGGTTTTAAAGAATTCCAGCCAGCTCGCCCTTGCAGCGTTACTCCATAGGACTCTAATGTCTGGATGGTTACAGTACCCGAGTTTGGAGAAAACGATGAATATACCTGGATTTACAGAAAAGGAGATAAAGTTGAAAATCAAGATCAGGTCAACCTATTCACAGGAATTAAAGAAAATTAAAGATTCCAAGAAATCTGGAGCTGGGGTTGATGCAGTTTATGTTCCAACAGTAAAATGGCTCCACTTATTGGACGAGTCATTAAGAAATATCTATTCAGAAATGAGAGAAACACAAAGTAATTTGGTAAGTACTCACATTTTTATGACATGATGACATTTTTTAATGTTAGGAAGGCATTGTTAAATAACTCGCAAGTCTAAAAATATGTTGCAGGGTTCTTTCTCTTCGTTGAATTTGAGCTTTAACATTGTTTAACAAGAAATCAAAATTATTTTCAGACATCCTGAGTGTGTTCAAGTATTCTGCTGGATCTTCTAATTCTAGTTCTCTGAGAAGACAACTTGAAGCCCCCAATAAATCTCTTCTACTAATCCACTTTCTAACCCACAGTCATGTTCGTTCGTATGAAATTTCTTCTTCAATTTCCTCTAATAAAAAATTGGCAAGGTTTCTGATACCATTATTTATAACTGCACGGTGTCATCTGTCCATCTTGTGTGAATTCAAACGATCAACTGTACTAGTCCAGACACATTAAAAGTGACTAAACCATTTTAGTGTTAGTTACTACTCGCTAACTAACTAACTAGATGGCTTATCGAACACTTAGGTTCATCACCGAATTAATCAAAGCCCTCCACTGGACCCTGTCCTGGGCCAACAAAATCCAATTTCCTTCAACTCTTATCTCCCATAGATCCCGCCTGAGAATATCCTCCCATCTATGTCTAGGTCTCCCCAGCGGTCTCTTCCCTTCAGGTTTCCCAACCAGTACCCGGTGCACACATCTTGTCCCATCCATGCGCGCTACATGCCCAGCCCATCTCATTCTTCTCGACTTAATCATCCTGACAATATTAGTATCTGTGTTCCTCCCTCTGAGTGAGAGACCATGTTTCGCACCCATACAAAACAACAGGCAAGATTATTGTTTTGTATACTTTAATTTTCAGGTTCTTAGAAATCAGACGGGAAGACAAAATATTTTGGACTGAGAAGTAGCAAGCATTTCCGGAATTTAGTCTCCTCCTAACTTCCTCACAAGTATCATTTTGATTTGTTATTGTTGTTCCCAAATATTTGAACTTTGTAACCCTTTCAAAGGATTTATTAGCTACCCTAAGATAATTTTGCCCGCCTGTCTTCTGATGACGAGATACTAACATGTACTTAGTTTTTTCTGAATTTACTTCCAGCCCCACTTGTCTACCAGCCTCTAGTAAAACTTCTGCGTTCCTCTTTATTGTATTTATATCGTCCCCCAATAAATTAACATCATCAGCATATGCCAATAGCTGATGTGTCCCGTTCAATTGCAAACCCTCCTGCCTACCTTGGACCTTCCTGATGGCGTATTCTAGCGCAAAGTTAAAGAGCAAGGGAGACAAAGCATCTCCTTGTTTTAGACCGTTCTTGATGAGGAATGTCTCAGATACATATTTACCTACTCGAATTTTGCTGCAGGTTTCATTTAAGCACATTTTTATTAGACCCACTAGCTTCTTTGGTATACCAAATTCAATAAGAATATTATATAGCACTTCTCTCTTCACAGAGTCATAGGCTTTTTTGAAATCTATAAATAACTGATGTACAGTCCCACCGAACTCCCATTTTTTCTCTAGTATCTGACGAATGCAAAAGATCTGATCAATCGTTGATCTGTTTCGTCTGAACCCACACTGATGATCCCCAATAGTTTCATTCGCATATGGGGTTAATCTTGCCAAAAGAATGTTGGATAGAATTTTGTATGAGGTTGATAGCAGCGATATTCCTCGGTAATTACCACACTCAGTCTTGTCCCCCTTCTTATAAATAGGAATAATTATGGATTCCTTCCATTGATGTGGCATCTCTTCCTTATCCCAAATTAACTGAATAAGCTTATGGATCCTCATATGCAACCCTTTGCCACCTGCTTTAATTAATTCGGCCGGAATCTGATCAATTCCTGGAGATTTATAACTTTTCAACTTCCCAATGGCTAGTTCCACTTCATCTAAGCTAGGTTCTGGCACCAACAGTTCAGCTGTATGCATTTTAATCTGTCTAATATCACCAGTATTATGAACATTTAAGAGCTCGCTAAAGAAATTTTTCCACCTATTCACAATTTTTATTGGATCTGCAAGCAAATTGCCACTATCATCCTTTACCAAATTAGTCTGGGGTTGATATCCTTTCTTAAAGTTATTAATGCCTCTGTACAGGTCTCTGATGTTTTTTTCCTTATTATTTGTCTCAAGTTCAGCAATTTTGCCCTTCAGGTATTCCCTTTTCTTAGTCCTAAAGGTTCTACTAGCCTCACGTCTCACGTTACATAGATTATCCGCATTTGTTTTGTTTGGGTTCTGCAACCATTGAAATTTTGTTTGCTTCCTTCGATCTATTAATTTTGAACATTCTTCATCAAACCACGGTTTATTTTGCTTTCTCCTGTAGTATCCTAGTTTCTCTTTTGCTGAAATTTTGATGCAGTTTCTGACATTTTCCCACTCCCTGTTGATGTCCACACTTTCATTATCCTCATTTGTCTCTAAAATTTGAAACCTATTCGAAATTTCAACTTGATATTGTTCCTTTGCCTCTCCCTCACTTAATTTTTTCAAATCAAATCTTTCTGTGTCAAAATTTTGTTTAGTTCGTCTACTTACTGAAAGCCGCTCCCTCACTTTTGCTACCACCAGATAATGATCAGTGTCGCAATCTGCTCCTCTGAATGATCTCACATCAATTACATTTGTCTGCCTTCTCTTATCTACTAAAACATGATCTATTTGATTGTGTGTTCTGCCATCTGGGGAAGTCCAAGTGTATTTATGAACATCACGGTGTGGAAATTTTGTACTTTTTACAATTAAATCTTTTGACGTAGCGAAGGTCACTGCTCTGACGCCATTATCATTACTAAGTGCATGGAGACTCTCGCTGCCTATTGTGTGTTTGAAGATATCCTCCCTCCCAATTTTTGCATTGAAATCTCCTAGCGGAATTTTCATGTGATACTTGCCAAATGTATCAAATACTGATTCCAATTCTTCATAAAAGCTATCCTTGATATCATCGCTTTTGTCTTCAGTTGGGGCATGAACATTAAGGACAATGATGTCGCACCAACGTCCTTCCAAAATTACGTAAGACAACCTGTCACTAACAAATTCTACTCTCTTAACTGCTGCCCTAATTCTGCTATGAACAAAAAAACCCGTCCCTAGCTGATGATTGTCATTCCCCTTTCCATAGAATAACGTAAAATTGTCCACTGGGATCGTGCCCTCCCCCTCCCATCGCACTTCCTGCACTGCCACTAAGTCTAACTTATAATTCTCTAATTCCCTACTCACTGATTTCAGTGCCCCAGCCCTATAAAGGCTCCTAATGTTCCAAGTACCAAATCTCATGTCCTTTTTCAATTGCCGTGGTCGTGCCAAAGAGTCCGTCCTGATCCGAGGCTTGGTTGATTTTTTCGTAACACATATTTTTTTTAAAGGTGAAAGGTTGTTAGCCCTACACCCAACCCCCAACCTGGAGGACCAGGGTATCACTCTTAGTCTAGCGCATCTCCTTAGACCTGTCCGGCTTGGGTGACCCTACCTTGAGCTGATGCTCTGGCCGGCATAGCCCTAAGGGTCATTTGAGCACGCAAGCCTCCTCACCCGGCAGATTGCCTTCGACAAGGTGGTGATACCTTCGAGAATGAGATACTACTCGCTACTCGACTAAATTACTGGCTGTGTGTGAACAAGCCTTTAGTACTGGAAACAGTCAAGTCAGAAACTTTTATGCAGTTTTACATTCAACAAGAGATCCTGGAACTTTGTACAGATATAATTCTTTGCAAAATATGTTTATGTGTAAAATGGTAAACCCAACAAGGTAAACTACCTATACACATACTGACTTCTCAGTGACAAGGCAATGTAACCTAGCAGGGTCACGCGAAACATCGTCTGCACCATTTAGACACACCTAAAGCAGGTAACTGTGACGTTCACTTCCGAGGATATGATGGCAGCATTTCTGCAAAACAAACAGTGAAAATATGTTACAACAGTTGACAACAACATACCTGTTTAAAGCATTTGATGTAGTGGAAAAAGTTGCACCATTGTGTTCTTACATACCTGGCCCTAAATATATAGGCCATTCTATAACTATAAAACTTTGTATACCATGTAGTGTATTAGAATATAGAGTGAACAAATCAACAACTATTAACACTATAACGGACACTATTTCCCTACGCGTTTCGACCTCAAGAGGTCATCATCAGTGGCATCAGGGAAATTAATACATATAGTCAAATGTTTGGAACTAGATTCAGAATTAAAAATGAAAAGGTATTTGACAAGATGGCTGCACTAGATGCTGTTATTCACAGGAGTAAAACTCGCATTTAGCTGTTGATTCCGTTGTACGGTGGCCGTTGCTGGTCTCGGCGAGCTATACTTGCGTCGTCTGTACCTGACAGTCTTCCAATTACGAAAAATCTGATAAAACTACTCTGTATTCTCAAATTGTTCATTAATCTTGTCTGAGGTTGGTATACCTTCATGAACAATTTATACTTCATGTATTTCTAATGCAACAATCATACAATTGCTGGCCACAAATCCTCATACTCTATGGTGAACTACAAGGCTCATGAAGGTTGCAGGTCATTTTTACAGCACAAGTCCTGGGTGCAAGTCTCCTGCTACCCAAATTCCTAAATAATTTCCTAACTACTCTGCCTGTTATAAAACTAACAACAGAAGTTACTAACAAAAACACACAGACATTCATAAAATAATGCATAATGAATTTTCAGTAATGTTACGTAAACACCATGTCACAATGCTGCAAAGACAAACTTACATACATTCATTCACTACTCAGATTCAAATCTTACTTCTCAAGTAGAGCCAATGCTTCTGGATCCAGAGCACACATGACCAACTACAAACCTACATTCAGAATCTGCAGATAATGGCAGCAGATTATTGCAATGATTTGGTATTCCCTTGCAGCAAAGTGGCCCAATACTAAAGCTTCACTTACTCTCATTAATGTTGTGAAGTGTGCTCACGATTCACAATACAAGTGCTAAAAATTAAACTTGTATGATGGATAGTATAGTTGCAAATATTAAGTCAGATTGGCATAATTTTTTACAACTCTTCTTCAGAACACCAATACAAACACATTTGTTCAACAATATATTACTTTAACGTCCAAATACTTGGATTACTGGTTTGTTTTCAAATGACTGAAAGCCTGTTCTTCCCAATAACAGACATATTTCACAACGGTATCTCACGATGTAAGGTGGTCATCAGTATATGATAATGCCATGCAGGTGTGTAGCGAAAGTTCACAAATCAAATGCAAAAAAAAAGTGCTACGTGCTCATCCGGTGGTCTACGAATGACTGCGGTCATTTCATCACATTTTGATCAGAACTGACTGTTATTTGAGACAAATGCAATTTACTATTACATCTTTATTACATTCCATGGATCTATAAAATGGTCAGATGAGAAGTGGGTGTGGAAAAAGTAATAATAATACAATACATATTATAAAGTATAATTCATACTATTATATATTAAATAACACATTAGAGTTGAGGCAAAATGTAGATACTCTTAGTAACTTAAATTTTCTTAATGCATTTCTTTACAGAGCAAAAAGTCTGTTATTAGTATTTCATAATATATTTGGGACGGTTATACTAAATTTACATCAAGATATCAATAATTTCAGCTCATATATTCGAAACTGAGGCAATCTTTGTAAATTTACGTAGTTCTAAATTGCCAACATGCAACAGACACCATTTTGAAAATCAGTCTGAATATTGTATCAAAGGCAATAAAGGTATTGTCATTTCTGAAAGTAATACACGCTATAAAAAGTTATGCCCTTCATACTTTAAATAATTTCTACAAAGACAATACATTTCTTCTTACCGTTTCTTACAACGTGACATCACGCAAAACTACCAACTCCTTCCACGCACGTTCTCGAAAGTAGAATGACTCTGCACTTCCTCATTCACCTCCCACAGATATCTATTGCATTATGGTCCTGACGTCACTGCCCCCACCCTGTCCACGAGCCACCCAAAATGTTAACTCCATAAATCTTGGATTTTTTAAGAAAAAGAAATTAAAACAAAGAGGACAAAGCTAATCTCCCAACCAACCAAGCCGTGCCTTTTTCCCTGTGGTGGAATTTTATAAACACCGTAATAATGAGCCTTCTTGTCCCATATAAGGACAGGGAATTTTTTGGCCAGCTGAGTGACCTTCACCTTTCACTCCAAAGAATTAATTTTTCCCATCAAAAAATGCTTTGTTTTCTTCATTGATGTCTCCTTGGCATTTCCAGCTTCCAATTTTACCATCACGTGGAAACATTTGAAACAACTGTACATCCATATTTACATTGGTAATACCAACATTCTAGTTCAAAATCTGATTTCCTTCAGAACCTTTAGTTAGCATTACATACACCACATTTCATCAGAACTGAAAAAAAATATTACCAAAATAGTAAAACTGTCCCACTATATACCATGAAGGCACTGGGGGGGAAAAGAAGGTATAGCTGTTACTCATTCTTAACCCCATTGGGGTGAGTGGTCAGTGTCTTGCCCTGACCATACTTTACACCCAGGAAAGGACCTGAGTACCCACTAGATAGCAGGCTGTGTGGGAAAGTCCTACACATTATGTTTCCTACTGCAGTATTAAAACTCAAGATATGCAATCAACCACAATGAACATTTCCAAGTAAAGGATACACTTGGGCACAAAGTATCTAGTTGCTAAGTGGAACAAAAAGTGTCATTAGTTGTAAAATAGTAAGATGACAGCTGTTGAGTATATTTATGTTCATAAAAGGCAACCAGTTTGCAAACCAGCATAAAGGAAGCAGTGGATGAGCACTGGTTGGAAAACACTACTATGCTGTAACATCCAGTAATTTATGATCAAGCTGAAAGGCTTTTTTTGTATATCAATCAGGAACAGGGTATAAACAAAGAAAACAAAATGTAGTCATAAACACTTTATCACACGACTTACAACAAATTACAATCAAATTGATACAATACAGTGATGTCAGTTTCTTGGGACTAGTTTCAAAGTTTCTGCTCAAGACTACATACAAACAGTTGCGACCTGTATGAGTCTCAATTGTCATGGCTGGCACATCCCTTCAAGAGAATTCCAGTCACAAGAGTGCATCAAGGCAACCCCCAACCCTCCCAAAAAATTTACAGGTATCCTCACATTAAGATGACAAAACCCACAAAAAACTGGAGTTCCTCTTTTGCCTTCCTCACAAACAAGAGCCAGCAATACATTTATTTCATCTCCATCTGTGTGTGGTCTTACTGTTCATTATTCCACATTTCATGTTCCTGCTATCCAAGAAGTCAGAAAAGGGGCTGGGGGAGGCATAGAATTTCAAGTAATCTGACTGAGAAAGAGCCAATTGCAATAAACAAGAGACATGCCCTTAAGAACTGCATCAAGCCCATCACATGGTGTAACAAAAACAGATGATTACAAGTAACATTATCACAAAACTCAGAAGATTCTATCTGGCTTTTTTATGTGAATAAAATAACACTTCAATACAAGGCAGAAAAACCTACACAAAATCACCGGTAAAATAAAGAAAACAAATACTGCAATCTTGTTCCACCTCACAAAGAACTCTGGAATGCCTTTTATTCTCACCCTAGACCAAAGTTATGGTCTTGCTTCATAACTGAATTAACATGGGATTGAACATCCCCGTAGAGGCATCTTCAACAGGTGGCACTGATACAGCCAATCAGCTTCTGAATCTTAAGGTATTACTAATAGCTGCACTGCTCACAAGATCTTCTTATCGCAATGTAATTAACAATAGCCAGATTCACAAAAGTGTATATTGACTTCTAAATAATTTACTGAATGCTCTAGATGACTGTCAGTCTAAATTTGCACTTCAGTAATTTAGCAAAGAACATAAAAATCTGGTAAGCTAAATATGTATGTTGAACTTCATCTGATTAAATGTAGACAGTAAAATACAAATCCTCCAGAAACTGTGTATCGTGTAATGAAAACAGATGGTACAATTAAGTATATGAGAGAATGTTTTAACACGGTAGGACACTTCCTGTAAAAAGAGCCACTTTCTCATCAGGTAAACAATATTAAACAATTTACAGTGCACATCATTATGTTCTGCCAAGCTCTCAGACTTTTCAGAAAAGATTAATATAAATATAATCAATATGTACAATTTAAAGCCTAAATTTCACTACTAAAAATGTGTGCAATTTCTAACAAACAGTACTTTTTAAAAACTTCCTTTTGCAAAAAGCAGTATTACAGACCAATTACTTGTTTCCTATTTCCTTAGTGCCAATAAATTCATTCACTTAACAGTGAAAATGTATATTTATATTTAAAATGCATGAGGGTTGGATATTTATAGCAGGCATTTTACTGCATATATCACTTTTTTTTAGTTGTGTAAAAATTCAATAAAACCACAATTCATAGTGTGATGTACAAGAAATTAATGCATAATCTTACTGACAAGTCAAGAAGGCATAACATTTCTCAATTACAAAGATCGATTTAACACTGTTTAAGGAAATAATCACTGTTAGCACAGAATCATATGTAACATAAATAAAAAATGCAGACTTATTGATTGTTAAAGCAAGTGTGACAGTTTCACTGGGATTTAAACAGTGCTCATTCATGTGGAGATGTGAAATCCCTCATAAAAGAAAACTGAGAGCTTGACATAAATTTAAAAAACTATTGCTTATAATACAAACAAATTCATTGTACTGGAAGCCCATATCCCTTTCAATGTGTGGGTTTTTGTGAGGGTTATGACAAGAATGTGGAGGAGAAAAACACAAGGAAGAATAAAAAAAAGAATGTTATATCCTTTTTTTATTTTCATACCTGTATTGTTCAGAAAACTCATTCCACAAACATGAATCTGGGTATGAAAGGGGCAGGGCGTGGAATGTAGCTCATCCCCACACTGTGAGTGGCATATCGTATGTAGAAAAGTATAAAAGTCATCATAATGAAAACATTCCAGTCAGGTAGCACATACACTGCTTCAGTTTCTATACTTAACCAAAAAGGTCTAAGTTTTAATATGCAAAAAGGACACTGTAGCAAGCTGTACAGCACTTCTTAATTAAATGACAGCACACCAAGACAGGGAAGTGTACAGCACAGTTAATATTACATGCCACTGGAATAGTTTCCATTTGTAATCATTCTGTCAGAACCAAGGTTCCTGTCACCGAGATTTACAGTCCTTATTTCTCATGCAATTCGACATATCTGTTAGCTTCTTGGCATTATCTTTTTTCTGGATCATGACGTAGTTCCTTCCATACTGGTAATAAGCACAGCAGGTGCTGACTTGGCCTAAAAGTTCAATATAGGAGAATACGCAGTTTTTATCTTGTGTGAATGCAGAAAAATGATTGCACATTTTTAAATTACATTCAGTTCTGAGGAAATGCTATACTTCTAAGCAGGTAAAATGCAACTGCATACATAGTTTGTTCGTTTAATGTTACACTACCGAAATAAATTTATGGACTGAAGCAGTAACAAATGAAACAAAATCATAAATGATGAGGATATGTTATCATAAAAATGACATCACCTAAAATCAAATTCCCAAGGAGACTTTTTCAGTTTACTTACATGATTTTATATAGCATAAGTAAAGAGAACTCTTTAATGTAATAAGTAATACATTCATTTAATTACCTCCAATATATGCATAATTTTGTCACTCAACATTTTGTTCCAGGTCACATATGCAACCAAATTAATAATTTAATTGACACTCTATCAACATAAATGCCCTTGCCAGATTTAGGCAAAAGCAATTTAAAATTTAATTTTGAAAGTGTTTGAAGCAACTCCTCACAACAGCACACTGTAAGCCATTTATATGCATAAGTAGGAAAATAAGATATAGCATAAAGATGATTATACTTAAAACTTTGTCATACAGGATTTAAATCCCTACATGCAGAACAGGTAGACAGATTTTAATTGAGGGATTACAGCTTCCCACGAAATTTGATAAGAATCCTGAAGTAACAACAAAAAATTATATTATGCTGACAGTTATGCAAGAGGAACAAAACTACAATGGTCAGTGTCAATGTTTGAAACTTCTGATGGTGGTTAATAACTTGTGTAAATATTTTATTGATTCATTATTTTACCTTGTCTTCCTTCTGACACAATCACACACACCTATTTATTGTACGGCGGTGAGATCATGAACGAGCATGAATGGTGTACTGACAGAATGATCAAAAAGAAGTGACATGACTGAAACACATCCTATAGTAACAATGAATTCTATAGGCTCAATGTTTTTAAAACACTCACAGCATGAAAACTTAATAGAAGTCTGTATATGGACAGAAAAATTCTAGTGGTGTATATGCTATATGGTTGCCCAGAATGAAAATGTATTTTAGCACTGCAATATTGAAAAGCATTAACTGATGATGAATGAATAGCAGAAGTTGCTACCAGTTCTTACAACAATGAATAAAGATTTTTAGGTATCTACTGTTTCACAATGAGAGTTCATTGGTGCCTAACATCACTTCAGAATTTAACAGGAGACAGGTTTAAGTATTTTTCCAATTCAATACTCACATGTGGCTATCATACTCCATATAAAGGGCCTTGTCAATGAAACACTTACGCGGCCAGGAAGTTTTATAAGTACTACAGTGCAGGAAGTTGAAATTGTAACTCATTTACGCAGACTGTTCACAAAATTTGTGAGGTCATACTCTTCTTCATATTGCTTTTCCTCCCACAAATCTGGCAGTGTTTCCAGCACTGTCTTCATTGTGACAGTACCTGATGTCACAGTCTGGTTCTTAGCAGTTTTCTGACTGTCTTTCGTCTTGTCATCCAATGAGAAAAGATCCAACAGCTGAAACCAAATGTACAAAACTTCACTGCACAAAGATAGTAACACATAAAAATAGTGTCTGTACACCGAGAAGCAGGTGAGAAGGGGGTATAAAAAAACAGGTAAGATATAGGGATGGGATATCACTATATCCTGTACCCAACACAATTCTCAATTTGCTTCCATCTGTTCCAGGCCCCCCAAACCGCAACTTCCATCTCCATATTTCCTCTCTCTTCAATAATCTTCTTTCCCAGTATCATATACCTCTCATTACTATCTCCTCCCTCACTTGCAGTTCTGCCCCCATCTCTTTGCTCCTCACCATCCCAGCAATCCCCAATCCCTTTCAGTCTACTCCTTTATCACCTGCTTCTCAACAGTTTATACTGAACCTCCCCTCTAACCCCTATCACACCATTTTGCTATTTCCATGCCATTCTAACATCACGCTATCCCTCCTTTATCCCATACCAATCACTTACCTCCACCCTCCCCTGATTTTTCTTTTACCTTCTTTCATTAAACCCCTACCTCTCCTCTTTCCGGCTTGCTGCCACTCCTTAAACTTACTCCCATCTCTACTTTCCCGGAACTTCTCACACACCTTCCATTCTACCCAGTCACTTGCTTCTTTTTTACCTTTTCTCCCCAGCATTGACAACATTGGGTATGTATTGGGGGAGTAAAAGTATGCAGCACCAAGACCTACAGACATGAGTTACCTGCTCTGTTCCCATGGTCTCCATGCTTGCATTCTCACTGCTTATCACAGTGTTTGCTGTCATTAACTTGAACTTCTGCAACCTGGAATGGAATAACATAACTGCAGTCTGCTTATGAACATAAAACTAATACAAGTCATGTCAGCATATTTAATATTGATGGGATTATACAAGCACTTCACAGCTGTGATAAAGTAAAGACTAAAACTGGAACAAATTGTAATAAGAATGGACAAAGGAAGGATATAAGATTTAGTGTACAGGGAAATTACCATCTAAAAGTAAGGTAAACATTAATTTTAAAGTAAACTTCACAACTCTGGATTCACATCCATCTAGCACTGAGCTTGACATGTGGTACTTTACCTCCAGTCCCCAAAACATCTTCATGGATTGTGTGGTACTTCAGCACAAACAAGACTCACACTTTAGCTTACAACCTTCATTCATCAAGCAGATTATGTACAGCTTTCACTGACATCTTATGGAAGAAATTACATTCACTAGAATCATTAATTTTCCTCATGTAAGAATAAAATTATAATGGTAACAGAAACTCACCCCATGATCTTCTCTTCTAGGGTGCCTCTTGTTATAAGCCTGTATACGTTGACAACTTTCTTCTGACCGATGCGGTGAGCACGATCCATTGCCTGCACATCCTTCATTGGATTCCAGTCATGCTCCACAAATACTACCTGCCATCACATGATAAGGTATTTATTACATGTAAGAACTGAGACGAAGCAGACAATCTGAATTTTTATTTCACTTTGCACTCAGATTTCAAATATTGAAGAGAACTGTAAACTAAACCAAGAGATTTATTCCAACTTCAGATGAAACATACAGAAAGAAAAAGACATGGCACGCCCATTGTGCTTAAATTTTAAGAACGTTTAGCTAATAAAAGAATTAAAAGGCCAACTTCAGATGAAACATACAGAAAGATGAAGACATGGCATGCCCATTGTGCTTCAATTTTAAGAACTTTTAGCAAATAAAAGAATTAAAAGGAATGTCATAGCTTCAACCAAAAGAACATGAATGTCAGTCACACTTACTGTGTCAGCGCCTGTTAGGTTGAGTCCCAGACCTCCAACCTGGGTGGTCAACAGTAGCACGTCTATCGAAGGATCGTTATTAAATGCAGTCACTACATTGTGCCGCACGCCTGGTGAGATGCTGCCATCTAGCCTCAGGTATGTCACACTAGGCATGTTGCTCCTGGTCAACATTTACATTTTATATCACTCTTGGGTTATTTAATGACACTTCTCATCTACATACGTTCTACACAGGCTTTATAGCAGTTCACAGCTGCAGAGACTGAGGAAAACCATCAACATCTCGGTGAACAGACAGTCTACATGCCTCTATCTGAGCCCACAACTTAGCAGAAAATGAAGCACATAGCACCCATTATTGTCAATGTTTAATATTCATTTCCCCTTTATGGCAGACATCATTATCCCTCTGTCCCCATAGCACAGCTGGATGTGACAAGACCACAGACAAATACAGGGAACATAAAACCTGTGTAATGGAACACTGATAACTTACTTAAAGAGATCCTGCTCCAGTATGTCAAGCATGGCTTTGAGCTGGCAGAAGATTAGTGCTCGATGCTGATTGACAACAAGTTCTCCAGTCTGACCTGCAGGGGGCACACCAATTCCACAATCCAGTAGCAGCTGCCTGCAAAAGAAGTATGGTCAGACACTAAAAGTGATTATGCTATTAAAACTGTGAAGCTGAACAAATTCATAAAAATAAGTTTTTCAAACATCTGATACAGTGTAACCACATATTCAGAATGTTCCATTTGTACCAGAAAAACAGCAGATATCTAAAACATGTGGTCCAAATCTTATTAGACTCACAGACTGATAAAATGGCACTAAAGTTTCCAACTGTATAGAACAAACAATAGTCAAAAATATAATTATTACTATAAACTCTGAACATGCTTATTTACAACACAAAAACTAACTGCTCAGTTACTGATGTTGAAGAGATATCATAATAATGCACACTGAGCATCTGCAATTATAAGTATGCCCAACAGCATGCAAAATCATTTAACTTATCAGATATACATGCTGTGATTTCCAACATGGCTTTTCTTTCCACTTACGAGAAATGCTGCAACACACCGCTCATCTCCTCACACCATTAAGTGTGGTGGATGGGAGAAAACAGAATAGTGATGTGCAATTCAATAGTCAGGGGGGACAGGAGTCAAAAAATAAGATTTTCTTTCTTCCGCAGTACAATACATGTAACGCTAACAACATTAATGATCTGTAACATGGCTTCAAAGAATCCTCTGAATTTTAGTGTAGTCTGCCACCTAACAAGGCACTGGAAAGCATGAACACACTAAATACACTGGCCCACAATTTAATTTTCCATGCATAAAAACTATTAATTCTGAAACACTCATTTTTCCATTGTTGTACCAAAACAATGGTCTGCAATGTACGAGAGGATTTCCATACCACAGCATCAGAAAACTCAACAACTGTAAAAATGAGGTTTCTACTAAGAACTTACTTGAGGGCTGGCAATTTAGCTGCATGATGGATATCTGCCATGGTGCTGTTTTGCTGTTTCAGCTGCGTTAAAATTTTTTCATATTCAGGATGCCGTGGTGACAGAACCAGCTTCGGATGGTTACACACATTTTGGAGATACCTCAGAGCCTGTAGTTAAATAGTCAGTGTTATGAGAGGGTGACAGCTGCAACCTCACGCCATGTCACAAACACAAATAATATTTTCACTTTTACACATAGGTCAGATGGTCACATGGACAGTGATTCTTTCCCATAATAGCTAATTTACATGAATCTTTATGTAAATCACAGACCTAAGTATTTAAAAAAGCATGTATGTAAATTACGCAATAAAATATGGACTGCACAGATTTGCACAGAAGTTGAAAAATGCCACACGACTGAAATGGTGCATAACAGAAAAAGATTTGCTAATGACAATACTGGAAAAATGTTCAGCTTCAAGTAACTTCAAGAACACACAATTTCACAGTCAATTGGTATGTAGACCTGCTTACAGTCAGATGTTCGTCAAGTGACAGAAAAATGTTTCATGCCCAAATGCATAGAACAGATAAAGTACAAATATGTAGCTTATTAGCAGTAAAATAGGTGAGATGTGTAAGGAGTACAGAAAGAAAAAGTATAAAAGGGGGAAAACACAAAATGAAGAAAAATAGTGCATTTTAAGATAAACACCTTGGAAAACAATTTGACCAGCAACATAATAAGGTGTAAGATTTGAGGTTTTCACAGCGGTGAGTATGAAGATTTCTGTCTTCTGGGTTGGTGAGCTGTGTAGTCTGGTCGATGTTAACCAACGTTTCAGAGGCCATACTGCCTCCGTCATCAGAGTGATATACAGAAATCTGAAGACACTAGGCTGTCAGATGATCCACTTAAAATGGAAATATTTTTGGAGGAAGAAAAAGTGCTTACATTGTGAATAATATTTATATGTGTAGTAGTGTATGAACTACCATCCACCAATTTCCCACGCTAAAGCCAACAAGAAGCATAATATTGAGCCATCCATGTTCTGAATCTAATGGACAATATCCAGCTATGGTCTGACAACCTATGTAGGATTTGAGGTTCAACAACCTGTCTGATCTCCATCAGTCAGCGTGAAGAAATCCAGATCTGTAACATGATTTGTTGTGCATGACTGGCTATTGCCCAGCTTGCACACTGTTCAGTCACCTGGAAGATGTGTGTGCTCCCTTGTATGGTGCCTGCCTGCCCACCGTGTGCGAGGCTATCCTGCAAGCTCTGGTGGGCGTGAGAGCGTGCAAAGTCCTCATACAGCTGTTCCTGCAGTGGACTCAGTTCACAGTAATAATCCTGTGTGATCTTGGGAGGCAGATCTTGCAATACATCTTCCTTCATCCTGCGCAACAGGAATGGCAATGCCTGCCTGTGCAGTGCTTCCATGGCTAGTGCTCCTATAACACAATTATTTGGTTTCATCTAATACCATTCACTTCCATGAACATTAACGACTTGTACCATATTCTTGGCATTTCTGTTTTCTTGTTAAATGTATAACATTAAACTTTACACAACTCCATAGCTAGTGCCTTAAAAACTACCTAATTTTATGGTACAGAGTCTTTCCTCTATATTTAACAGTTCCTCATCTGTTTACAGAATTCTCACCATCACCACTGGTCCTCATCTTGAGCTAGTTTGATCCAGTTCAAACGCTATCTATTCAACTCAGATTCACCTAACACCTTGTCGTTACATACAAGCGATAAAGGATGAATGATGTAAGTGACAAGTGGAGGCTTACTTGTTTCACAGAGGAACTGCAAGCCAGTAACAAATAAGTACTGATAAGGATCATGAAATCAAAGTGCTTACAATGGGCTGGGCAAGCAACTATGAAAAGGAGACTAAGAATGAAAAAGATTTTGGTGGGGAAATAAAAAATGGCAACTTCATGATTGAGAAGGAGGATGATAATATTAAGATAAAACTTTTCAGAAATGGTGACAACAAACAGATTAAATGCTTTCAGGAGCATGTCCAATGATGGGCTTTAGTATTAACAGTATTAAAACTTTAATTTTACTTTACTGGAGGTTCAGTTGGTAAAGTATCTGCAATTATGAACTGATACTGAGCTATAAATTAACTGAACCAATACAAACAATTACTCCAAAAATTTCAACCAACATATGTTATGGCCACAATCTAGAATTAACAAGCAGACCTGCTTCTTGCTCCTTAGCCGAACTCTTCGGATCACGGCTGGCCAGGATTGGCTTGCTGTAGCGTGCCGTAAACTGCTTCTCTGTACCAAGGAAACCAGGCATCAGGAAGTCAAACAGTGACCACAGCTCCAGTACATTATTCTGTATTGGTGTTCCCGACAAAATGAGGCGGTGATTTGCAACCAGCTGTTTGATTGCTTTTGAGGACTGCAACAGAAATGTAAATCACAAACTGGATACAACTGAGGGCAACTAAGTTTACTTTCATCTTCAGTCTGTTCCAATATCTGCTACACAAAATCAGTTCCACATAACACAAGTAAGACATGGGAAATTCAGTGAGATTTCAGGTTATGTCAATGAGTATAAAGATGGCTGTCTTCTGGGTTATTTCACCATGCAGTTTGGTACATGACTGACGATTCAGAGGCATTTACTGCCTCCATCATCAGGACAATCACTCTGTAATGGTATCCACCTAAGTTTCTACAAGTTGTCACAAACCAGAAGAACAATGTAATATGCATTTCTTTGTCCTAAATATTTTACATATTTATAAAACGTCCAAAATATGACTTGAATATGTTACTGATGTAAAGTAAAGGTGATACCTTGGTTTTTCCATTCTTGATAACATGGCCCTCATCCAGGATGCAATAGTTCCACTTGATAGAACTGAAGAAATCAATGTCCTTCCTGACAATGTCATATGAAGCCACCACCAAATTGTGGAATTTTACCTTGCTGCGTAGCCTGCAGTAATTCAGATAAATTAATGAACCTCAACACAGAACAGAAGAGTTATTAGAGTCATGATAATACCATAAGCTTATATTTCTTTGTCAGTATGTAAATTAAATGTGAAATGTACTTGTCTGTAGATGGCTATCTTCTGGGTTGAATCACTGTGTAGTCCGGTAGACGTTTACCAGATTACACAGTGCTACAACCCAGAAGACAGCCACCTTCGTACTCACTGCTGAAAAAACCCTAAATCCTACTTACTTATCCCTTTCTGCAGGGGGTCCAATGTACTGCAGAGGGTTGAGGTAATCTCTTGACAGGAACTTTTCCACCTCGTACATCCAGTGGCCTGTGAGAGTTGGGGGACAGATTACAATTGAAGGCAATGGAGCACAGTCTGGGCTTCTAGTTTTCTGAAACAAAAATACAAAACAGTGTGGGTGATAAGAACCAGCTTAATGCTGCAGCATATGCAGCATCCAGATAACTTCAGCAATGAACACAGCATCTTTTAATGAACCAAACTGCTTTTGTCCCATGATACCACATAGACAGTGAAGTAAATACGATTTCTGTTCTCTTAATTAGTTTTAAAATATCTATATTTCTTCTGAAAGCCAGTACTGAAAACAATTCATTGCTCCCTTATTTCCACAGAAGTTTCAAATATGCTTCCACAGTCAGTAATCACGTTCTTAAATTATCAAAGACCTGCTCACTAAAAGTAACAGATTTCTCCATTGCTATCCAGTTTTGTAACCTACCACGGAAAAGCAAACTGTTGATGTAAGATGACTACTGCTGCTTTTGCAAAGCATTCAATCAAAGTGGAACAGCCCTCATCTTTTGTTCCTGCTAATATGTACAACAAACAACAACTGCTAACTGTGGATAGAATAGTGTTTGCAATTGTAAATTGGACCAATGCATTTTTCATTTCATAGCTTATTACACATACGGCACAAAGCCAATTTCCTATTTCTATAACTCTGGCACAGGAAACTGATTTGAACCTGGGACTAGTCAATTTCTGTGAGAGAATGTCATACCTCATACTGCTGTCTCCTATAATAATGATCTCCTGCCAGGATGCAAATGGACTGCAGAGTCTTTCCCAGTCCCATGTCATCACACAAGATGCCATGGAGTTTGTACTTGTTCAGAAATGCGAGCCAGTTCACACCAGACTGAAACACAAACAACAAGTTTAGGAGGAACTTATGATACCTACTGCCTTTATAATTCTCAAACAACTATAACATCACTGTACTTGTTGATAAGACCGCAGTTCTGCTTGAATGGGTACAGGAACTTTATAGTCCTCAATCAACTTGGGGTTAAACAGCTGTTCCAAGAACTTGCGTTCTCGAGCCTTCTGCTGAGCCAGCTCTGGAGTGAGATTAGGTGGGTCTGGAACACCACCATCTAGTGGCATCAGCTGTATCAACGTGGCAAAGCAGTGTGTGGCCATCAAGCGCACTGGCTGGTTCTGGTCACTCATACGACCTGCAACACACAAAGCAGCACCAAATTTTATTTCTTACGCAAGCTATTCTGTATGTAAAGTAAAGCGTCCCACTAACGCCATGTAGGTGCATTGGGGGAGTGGAGGTATAGGTCCTACTCTTTCTTGACCTCGGCACCAGATGGGGGTGAGTGGTCAGCATCACGCCCCGGCCGTGCTTTACCCCTGGGAAAGGACCCCGGTACCCATCTGTATATATAAATATTATAACACAAAACTAGCTAATTTTAATCCACATTACCGGACCCAATCATCATAAGTCTTACAGAAAAACAGTCAGCCTATGCTTACCCAGCAGAGGCACCACCAGGAGAACAATATATGGCACAATGTTAAACTGCAGTTTCTCAGATATTGATGCCAGAGCCTCAACAGCACCTTGGCGCTGTATATCTGAGTCAATTGCACCAAGCAGTGGCAGCACTTTATCTATCACATGTGTCATCACTGGCACAGAAGACAGGCATGCCAATGCACCCATACAGCGAGCAGTCATGTGCCTCACAGCACGGTACGGGTGCGTCAGAAGCAGACACAGCCGGGGAAGACAGACAACCAGCACCTGTGCACATATTCAGGTCAATTTTCAACAGGCTACTGAGATTAACTTTGTTGCTAATAGGAAACTTAAGTTTGACATTTTCTGCCACCTCAAATGTTCAAATTTGGGAACTGTTATGGTATGGAAAATGCAAGTATTTCATTAGAAACTAGGTCACAGATGAAATACCTGGAACTGTCAGTAACAAATCAAAATTACACCCACTTTACCTACTCAGGATACAAACCCTATTCATCAAATGTATAACCAGCTACTTGCACTTTATGCGTAAGTACTAAAAAATTATCTATTTTGTTACCATCTACAGTCTAAAACTTTCAATCTGATATATGATTTATAATTATAGGACTTCCTGACAAGTAATGTCAACAATGCTTAATTTTATAGAAAGTATTTACCTGAGGCAGTCCCGCGCCGTAGCCGCACGGTCTGAGGCATCATGCATCGGACCAGCGATACGGAATGTGCGTTGGTCCGAGTCTCGGGGAGAAGAAATTTTCTCATGAGCTTTCCACCAGTGTATGGGACCGGTGTCAACCCAGCATCGTGAGGAAATTGGGGAGCTACAATGAGTAGCGTAATCCGGTCAGGAAAGCTAGCAATGGCTGGGGGTTCGTCGTGCTGACCATACATCACCCTATATCTGGTTGGATGATCGTTCACCTCTGCTTAGGCATGTGAACGTGAGGCCAGCAGTCAAGCTAGTCGGCTTTGGCTCTCTGGAGCTGTTACGCCACGGATTTAATTGTTTAATTTACCTGAGGCAAGATGTCGGAGTGGATGGCTGGACTTGTTACTTCAAGGACTTGAAGACTCGATACCAGATCCTCTGCTGCTGCATCATTGTTCATCAAGACTGGGGCATCTGTTAACACATCAACTCTGTTTCACTTTAAATATGGAATATAAAATGTAAGGCATAGCATAACTGAAGAATACACCAGCCTGCATATTGTATTAGGAATTGAAATCAAAAGCAATTATAAGAACCAATCAATACATTAACACATTTTTTGTGCACCAACAATGTGGACACACTTTAAAAACCCAAACTCAGGACCTTCTGAACACAAAGCAAGAGCGCTAGCCAATCAAACACAATGTTCAGTTAAGTAATGTATAAAAGTGAATCTTATCAAATTTTACTTTGTTCTAAGAACTGAACAGAAAATAGACAACGGAATGCTCACCAAATGTAGTTAAGTCAACAGCATCCTTCAGATGATCAATCATAATCTCCCAGAACTTTGGTAACTTATGCGGCAAATCCCTACCAAAATATAAACTTATTGCTGTTAGAGCAAAGCAGGCTCCCCTCCTCTGTATACGGCTTTGCTTTTGAGCCTGAAACATGCAAAACAGAACAATAAGTGGAAAAGATACAGGAAGAGCAAAGGGAAACCAAAATCAATCTCTTACAATTTGACTTAATCAACAGACTTATCAGTAACATTGTCCTTCTTTACACATTCTTTCCACAAAATTCAGTGAGGAATTGCAACTACCACACACTTGACTGTGAGAAAACACAAACAAAAAATTATCCTTTGTATGGCTGATGTCACTTGAAAAAACAACCCATATTCTGCATAGTCGTGAAGATAATTATAATATGCTGTTAATGAATTTAACCTAGCAAATGATCTGAAACCTTAACAGCTCACTGCTTCATGTCAGAAATCAGTGAATAGTTTTAGAATGCTTCATGAGCTCAACTACAAGTACTGTGAATGTGATGGTGATAATGCCAGTAATAACAAGTAATGCATACATTATCTTCTGCGGCAAACAGCTCCTCCAAAGGTATGTCTGTGATGGGTGGTCGGCCTGGACCACGACCTCCCGTAGAATTAGAGCGCCGAAAGGCAGCTCGCTCAGCAGACTGCACAGAAATATCAATATCTTACCCAGTACTCATTCAAAGAGAGCCCCTTTATTATTAATTAATTACATAAGATTTCCTACCTACAGCATAAGTGTTCTGCTATACCAGGTAGTAACATCACTAGTGACGCTGCGAATGTTCATTATAAGTTTCCTAAACATTATTCTTTCTGTTATAAAGTATTCATTAACATTACAATATCAGAAAGGCCAATTCATTTGTTCACCTATAGGTTACCTAAAGGGGTAGGTAAGCCCTGAACATTCAAGCAGTATGTTTCTCCAAAACACTGGTATCACCTACAGGTCTGCACAGCATTACAAGTCATGACACCGACTTGCTTGATGGCAAAGACGCCAAAATGAGCAATACTGCAGTCATCTTACCCGTTGCTGATTGACCAGCGTCAGGATGCCAGTATAGTTGTTCGCGAAGGAAGTCGGAGTTCCCGTGCGACTGCCATCCCCAGTGCTCTCAACCCCACTGTCACTGCTGGGACCCTCTCCTGTGACTGTCTGAAATGCCATCACATTACTCTCTTCAGCAAGACAACAAGGGCACCTACCACTTATACATCAAGATTTAATCAGAGATAAACTACATTTATTTGAGATTTTGGAATAGTAAATTTATAAAAGAAATAGTAAACAAATCATATGATCATTATAAATTTCTGCTTGTCTTGTGCAAATTGATGATTGTATTGCTCAAGCTTGCCAACACAAATGCATCAATTTGACATGCAGTAGAAAACATCTTATTTTTGTTAGTAGTGTGATTATTCCTATCTTAAACAGAAACAGGGTATGAAGGTGTGGACTGCAGTCCAGAAGTAGGCTCTTGTGAACATGAAAATGTAACTTAAGACATAATTATTGTATTGCCTTATACCTGCCAAGAATTACCTGTATTTTTGGTGTGAACTCAGGGTCAGATCGCAGGAATGTACACAGATTGGAGACAATCTTGCTATTGGGACATGGCACTCTCTTCACACAAAGATCAGCCAAGCAAGCCAAGTGGTCTGCAGCCAAGATCTGGAATCATCCATGCACAAATGAATGGTCATCACATAATTTAAGCTAACAATACTGTATCAACTATTAAAGTGACACTGGTAGCAGCAAACAGATATATGTAATGAAGGTAATGGATCAAACACTGCTCACCCCTAAATTGAATGCAATTAAGCTTGTAATGACTGAGTTACAAAGATATAAACTGAAGAATATAATGTGATTTGTATGGTATGATTAGCACTGAAATAGTAGATTTGCAGCTGCAATGAATGAAAAGCAAGGCCAGTGAACTGTGTAAAGTAACAAATAACACATTCCGAACATGTGCACTCCATTGCAGTACTTTCCACACTTCTTACACTCAGCTATATCCTCGCTTATTATACTCACAAGACATGCGTTTATAGTGTAGATCTACTTCACAAAAATTCTGAAAACTACACATTCTTTTAAACAAAAATTCTGAAAACTACACATTCTTCAACTTTTAGCATCTATAAATGAGTGTGTGTTCACTTTTCAACATACCTGTAACTGCTCGTTCTCTTCTTTCTTAATGGATTCCATCAATGGCTTGATCACTGGGTTCAGTTTCTCTGGCAGACATCTGAACAAGGTAACTGCACCTGCCAAAGTAGCCTGAGTTCTACAAACAAAACCACCGGCATTAGTGTCAGAACAGTACTCAGTCCTTTGAAGGACACCCCCCCCCCCACTTTTTCAATATGTGCGTGTGCGCGCACACACGCACGTTCAGAGTTAACTGCAAAGAAAGAAACACATTATATTTACCAAAATACACAAAGAAAGAAAACAAGTTAGGAAATAACCCACAGCATAACAATTCTGGTATTTGCCAGAATTTTACCTCGACTTTTGAGAGTGGTAATGACCTCTGCATGGACAGGGTAATGATGCCATCACAGAGGATTTTCCCTCCCCAGGTTACTTTGATAATTAAGCTAACCATGTTAACAGATAATGCCATCTGCAGTCTACTGAGGGAAGCCTAAAAAATATTTATGTTTTTTAAGTGGTTATTAAAATTGTCCAATTTAAACAAAGACTGGAATTGTGTGGCCACTTGTCATATAATTCTCCAATATCAAATTCCATCAAAATCAGTTTATTCGCTCTCAAGATGGTTTACGTATAAATACAGACAGATATGAGACAAGTTTAATAAGTGCTCCATAGGACAGGGATTGCAACTGATCACTTAAAATTTCACTACAAAGTATATATGGGGTTTCCACCTCACTAAATCGTGCATCTCCATCAGATAACTAAGACAACTTACGAAATACTGAGTAGCATCTGATCAGAGCTGGTTTGAGACACTGCTCCTTGTATGGCTTTCCTGCGGTCTTCTAGACTCTCGGACACTTTGGGTTTGAGCTTGTGTCTGGACAGCAGTTGCTGTGCAACAGGTCCACTGAGTTGCTGGATCTGTTCCAATGTCAACACCTGCCAGAAACAGAGAGGTTAGAAATAATTTTCCATAGGACACATGTACATGTCTGAATGAATAAGATAGGAAACAACCTCTAACCTGTGATTGAAATTGAACCTCTGCCTTTGTCCGCTTCAGTCCTCAAACTCTTCAAAATATTTTATTTATACAAGTTAACATTATAGAAATATCAACCACCCTTAAATTAGTATTTTAATAATATACAGCCCACACACTGAATACAATAAATATGAGTAATTTAGAAATAATTCTTTTCCATCCAACAAAGGAAAGAAAGTTTATGGCATCATTTACTTGCATATTTTACATCATTCATTTCTGCTACACCCAACACAACTATTGGGATACTGGGAACAACCCATTCTTCAAGTGCCTGAGCACTGCGGGTCCCAACTTTTCGTTGGCTCGATCTATAGGCAGTCAGTAGGACTCCTTGGACGAGGGATCGGCCCGTCGCAAGGCCTCTACCTGTACACAGGACAACACAACACAGAAAAATGCGGACAAACATTCATGACTTGAGTGGGATTCGAACCCACAGTCCCAGCGACCAAGCGGCACAAGGCCCACGCCTCAGATCGCGCGGCCACTGCGGACCACACCACAACACAACTACAGAATCACAATAACCAAAGTTCCCTTTAAAATGTATATGTGATATAGTATTGTTCCATACCTTCCCACAGATTTCAGGATCCAGCGGTAACTTGTAGTGTTTGAGCATTGCAACGAAGTCTCTGGTCTCCTGTAGAAGTCGTGTGAAGGACAGAGCAATCTCATCAAAGTACACACATTCACTTAGAGATTGATGAAGGCGAATTCTGAGTGTCTCAGGGCACACCTGAGTTGAGGTATCAAGCCGTGCCCACTCCACAATGACAAGGCCAGCCACCATTCTCTGTACTGCCGATTTGGAGTTGAGGTACGTTAACAGCAACTTTACATAGATATCAACTGGGCTCTCAGTCTCTGCAGTATACTCAATACCAGGCGCAGGCTGCACTATGTAGCATGACAGCAGGCCTTAAAGCAGAAACATTACTAAGGTAAACGTAAGTTCTGGGAAAATTTATGATGTCTCCAATCTACACTGTGAGACTATCAGGAATAAATTACAAATTAAAAACTGTACAAGCATGAAAATAAATGAAAAATGTGACTTTGTATGAATGATGCCACTGGCAGTATTAGTTCATAAGAGCCATAATATTTTCTTAAACATGGATGATCCATTAAACATAATATGAATTTTTTATAATTTATTTCATAATGTTTTAAGTTAGAAGGTAAAACAATTACAGCGCTACACTTAATAAGAGTTTGACAATAGAGTGTGTGGACACCTTGTTAGCAGATAAGCCCAACTTACCCAGCATCCGACTAGCCATACAGCGAGCCCGTGTCACATTCTTCTCCCTTGCTGCAGCTGGAGTTGTTTCACTGCCACCAACATACAACTTGAGCTCACACTTGGAATTTCCATTACTGCTGCCAGCCTCTAGAGAAGGTAAAGTGCGTGGCCTTCTAACAGACCTATCACCAGAACGATCCTGGACAAAGACACAAGCATCAGTAATCTCCTATACTACTGTATGTGGATTCTCATTAATAGCTCAGCAAGTATGAAAAGTTTGTTATAGTAAAGCTTGATACAAAAAACTGATGAACAACTAAAATTAGTAAAAGGTTAGAAATCCAAGTATTTCTCTAAACAGAACACCAGATATTTCACGAAAACAAAAATATGGAAAATTACAATTTACATCAGGTCCTAACTAATATGGATCTATCTTTGATGACATTTGACTACTACTAATTCATCAAATAAATGCACCTTAGAGAAAAACAGTTCATCGAAGAATGCCAAACTTAATTATTTTTAGTTCTCAAAAATGCATCAAACAATTCATTCAAAACCTTAGCGGTTTTGCTGTTTCTCCTTTATATAATCAACATTTTGTCATTCCATTAAGAAAGATATCTTGTACAAACAAGGACCATGCTATGAACATGTTGCTCTTAGCTAATGAATAGGTAGAATGTTTCTTCATTGTTAAGTACATCTATAGCATTGTTCCAAGATAGAAAAAAATAACTAATTTCAATAAGTAACAGTTTTGGCGGTGGAACCGAACATATGATTACACTCAACATACTGCCAGTTTTTAAGCTGTACTTGGGAGTAAAAATTAAATATTACATTATGCAAATCCACAATGGATGAAGTGTCCTTTTCATACTTACTCTGATAGATTTGCTTTGTATTAGCTGTGCAGGGTCAATGGCAAGCTTGGCTGGCTGCATGGTTAGGCACAGCCAGGAACTGACAAATGGACAAGCAGCCACAAGCAGTTCCTCCAGCTGACTGCTGCGTACCAGGTTACCCCATACCTGTAACAGATCGACAGACATGTAGATTCTAAAATAACAAGGGTGGTAAGTGTACTCAAGTGACTGTTGCTATTTTCCATGTAGATTCTAAAATAACAAGGGTGGCTATTTTGGATGCCTCATAATTTATGTAGCTGTCATGCTGGTATTACTGACAACAGAAAATTAAAAGGCACAAATGTAGATTGGCCTCTAGAGACAGTTTTGTGAAGATGCATCACTGGGTGATACCATAAGAAAATAAATCCTTATAAAGGAAGGTCATATGCTAAAAATATGAAATGCTTAAAAAAGCAGATTTCTATGAAGACAATAACACAAAGTACAACAGAGTTGGTTTTCTATTAGGAACCACTACTTCATTCCTTATGTACTAAAACATTTAAATATGAGCGATAAATTTAAATTTCATCTTGAAAATTCAGAATTACAATATTTTTCTCAAATGGACAAATGAAACTCTTGTTTTTGTTATTATTCACTTCTTTCCCATTGAACAAATCAATTGCACAAAATGATACCCATTTTAGAAACAAAGTCCCGCCATGATGTCAACAACACTAACAAATTATCAGAATAACCTGGAACAATCCCGTCTGAGTCAAATCCACAATTCTGAACTGCTACATACAATTTTATTGTAGCTGAGGTAAAAGAGCCTTTACCAGCAGAATATGAAATGCAAGAGTTTCACATAACAGCTATAGTAACCACCATCTTAACATATTCATATTTAAAAAATAGAATTGGCAACAGTTTTACATAAGCAAAACCTTCAAGAATAACCATGTGAGTAAAAATTCTAACATGTTTCTTCACTTCTTAGATAACAGAGAATGACACATCAAGCATGTGTTTGATAATTCATAGCAATATTCTCTTGCCATTCACTCATCAAAATAATCATTTTAGTTCCTATAAAACTTTATTTCCAACAAACAATTCCAAAACAGGCAGATCTATCAAAAGCATTTTGAATATACCTTCAGCTTAGAACAATCAGAGGGAAGAAGAAACCCATAACTGTCAACATAAATAAAAGACAACAGTATGACAAGAACTATCAAACCATGCAGGAACAGAGGAACAGAACAACTTGCTACCTGCTCAGCCAGATCCTGAATTTCAGTAAGTGGTTCCACTATTACACGCTGGAAGATGTGCCTGAGTGCATCCTGGAGCAGAGCTGCTGTCCAACTGACACCATTGCTACTGACAGGTTGCGCAGTCAGTGTGCACAGTGTTTGCAATGTAGCACGACGAACGGAGGATGTGCTATGGCAAAGGAATGGCCATAATCGTGGCACAACTTCACGAAGTGGCTGTGGTCTGTAAACACACCAGCCACAAATTCAATCAAACTAACTTTAAACATAGTGCCAAGGTATGAAGATGGCCGACTTCTGGGTTGTTGATTAGTTTCACTCACATCATATGTTTGTGTATGAGTGGTGAGCTGAGCAGAGCTGCTAGAAGCCCCATGAAACTGTTGCACGCTGCTGCCAATTCATCTTGTTCTAGCAGCAAGTCCCAGAGTCTGTGTACCGTAGCCTCCACCTGATCTGGCAGATCTGACACAATCTTAGGTGCAACAGGAATCAGTGCTGATGCTGCCACTGCTCCCACATCATCCACTGGGTCTGCGAGACCCTCCAAGATGTGACTAAATGCCATTGGCAGTATCTCACTTACCAAGTCCTACAAACCAAGTAAAAAATGTACGCCAAGGTGAATGAAGAATGGCATCTCAGAAGGCATAAATAATTCAACAAATTATCGTAACTAACTCATACACATCAGGATACCCTTTATGTGATCATATATTTTTAAGAACTGTATAAATAATCAGTTCACACAGACCACATAGAAGTTCATGGCAATAACAAAGTTTTGAGACCATGTTTGATAACTTCCATGTACTAACAGAAACAATAGGCAAAAATGTATCACTAACTTTTATAATTTGTACTTTATAGGGAAAACACAGTTTCTTGTAGAACTTACTGCTAAACATTTGAAATCTCTTTTCCACACTGACTAGCCATCAGTGAAGTGTGAACTACTAGAATCAAATTCAAGGCAATGAAAGATGAGAAGTTACCTCTCTAACAGCAAGCAGGTACTTGAGCCCCAGCAAGCCCCCATGTCTTGCTTCCCACTCATTATGGGTCAGAAGTTGAAGCAGAATTTTAAGCACTCCTTTCACATCGTCACAACTCATCAGATTCAGTACTGACCCTGGAACAGCCAAGTTTTGATTCAAAGGTTGATGCACTATACAGTTATTACATAAATGCAATACTGTAACATTAAAATTGATTGCAAAGAATAATTACAAACACATTTTACAAAAAACATATGCTGGCTAGATAATAAAAGTTACAAAAGAGTTCTGGTATTTAAATGATGTTAATACAGTGTATTTATCTCAATGTGAGACAAGGTTTTTCATTGAAGTTGGATGTCTTCTGGGTCATAGTGCCATGTAGTCTGGTAGAAGTTCACCAACATTTCAGAGATCCTTAGTGCCACCATCATCAGGGTGATGAGACTGCCAGAGGATAGAGGCAGCATGGACCTCTGAAACATTGGTAAACTTGTACCAGACTACATGACCCTACAACCCAGAAGATGGACATCTTCATACTCACGACCATGAGAGCCTGAAATCCTACTAAGGTTTTTCATCAATGTACCATCTCGACAAACCAGTGGCCAATTTACAAAGTATTACAAATACTTACAAGCATACAGGTATCATTAAAAAGTACATAAGTAAATAATGCCATACAAAGGATACACTTCTGATTTTTTATAATTACCAGATAATATTAAGAAGCTAAAAAATGCAAGAAAATTGTCTATTTCCAATGCAGGTGATTCTTAAAGGAACTGATGACATTAACAATAAAGGCAAATTAGAATACAGTTGCCCAAATTTTGATGTAGTTGGTGATTACTTAATTAAAAGCCGCAACATTAATAATTATAGCGAGGCGTGTGTACCATATACCTAAAGCCTGAGCACAAGTTTCCCTCACTGGTGCAACAACCTGGTCAGACACGAAGTCACCAAATCGATCCAATGCTAGTACACAGAGCAGCCTTGATGAAATGTCTTCTAGCCAGAGCTGGTGACACTCCTCCTTCTGCAATCACAATGTACCAGTGACTAATTTTAAACACACATAAAACCCTAGCAATCCAGTTCACTGTGTATATCTGAATATAAGATGAACTCAAATATAATATGAAAAGGCGGAAAAATATTAGAGAAAGACTACACTATTACATGTCCAGATAAAATACTCCAGAAAAATTTTACATATATTTGTTCCCCGTCTCTTCTTAATGGCCCGTACTCTCACCCATGATTGCTGCTTTACAGAGTGCCATACAGTTTAAGGTCTCTCTGACAAACCTTACATACCTCAGTCTTGGTGAGGTCAGCAGCCTTTCCTGCGCCTCTTCCATGGAGTCGCACAACCTCTCTCAATGCAGTGGCAGCTCCATGACGCACTTCCCAACTTGGACTGAACAGGTCTTGACACAGTTGATCACAGAAATTCTCAAAAGGCCAGTCGACTGCCTAAACACAAACAATGCTTACAACATTTCTGTCCACTGGATTCAGATATACATGTGTCTTAACTAAGAAGAAAAGATATATACAAATCTAAGTTATTTTGGTTTTTATTTTTAGATTGAATTTAACCCCTTGACCTAACTGCTTATACTGCCACTACAGAACACAACATTTCTGTCGACTGATTTGATTTATTAAAATATCATATATAACAATCACTCTTTAATCTTTATTATAAACACAATTCAGCCATTTGAACATCCTCAATGTATTCCTATAATAATCATACAATGCAAGAATTATTCACACACCCTCATCAACAATTATACAGCTTAATGAAGTTTACATATTGTATCAATATAATTAAAATTTTCCACACTGATATTTGAACTTCTAAAACTGTTCTTCAGCTAGTCTCCAGATAAGATGCAAAAATCATAAACACCTTTTGTATTCTCTACTTTCACTATTTTACTCATAAAACCCTCTTAAATTAATAACTGATCAATAAAAGATAGAATTCTCAGCCATCCACTTAATCCATTACTAAATCAGTTTTTAAAGAAACCTCTTCTGTGCATGTGCACTACTGTTATCAGTTCTTTCTGCCTGACATGAATTATAAAGCTTTAGAAAACACAATATAATGTACTACAAACACCTTGCATTGTTAATAAATTCTGTTGATGCTTCAATTGGATATACAACTGCTTGCTTGTTTCATTTTTCTCTTCAGTCATAGTCATGTTGAACTTTCTATCCTTGTGATGAGTAGAGACAGTATTTTGAAATTATATGAACCACAGAAGTAATGTGAGTGAAGATTGGAAATTTGCTAATGAATTGAGGAATGCAGTGCTGGAAAATGAACTACATTAGAACATGCTAATATTGGGTAATAAAAAGACTTCAGGTCTCAAGACATTCTATAAAGGAAAATAAGTAGCTCTTCTCTGTAATGTGCACAGCCTCCTCACCTCTCCCCAGGAACCAGTGCTGTCTGGAACACTCCCATTTGTTAATAACCCTGTTGCACTTAGATCCTCCTGTTTGATTTCCTCCAGCTTGGGTTTCTTATGATCAGGGTCCTCACCAACCGATGATGTTCCTCCGTCTTCTCCTGATTCTCGTGACCTCTGTTTAGACATTGCCTGGCGAGCTTTACGTCGAGCTCTGTTTATCTCGCGAGAACTGAGCATGCCAATCTGTGCCATCTCTTGCTGTACAACCTCACCCACAGTTTTCTGTAATTAGAATATAAATACGGTGTCATAATACATATATGAACTGAAATGTTAAAAGTCTAGAAGTCTTCTCTTTGTCGCTAACAATTTTGCCCTCATCTTAAACATTATAATCAGAAATTGGAAGCTGTTAGGAAAGGGCAGGGAGCAGAAAGACAGTATTTACTTTGAAAGGAAGAATAAAATAAACAAACTAACAGCTTACTTGTGAGCTAGTCATCCTTGCATTATAGGAAATGGATTATTTAACAGGTCATTTTGTCACCAAAAGAAATATTAACCTTAAAAAATAAGAAGCAGGAGTAACATGGCTCATAAGTATTAATATTTGTGGTAAACACCTAGCAACCTTCCAGGACAGAAAGGGACCAGTGAGATGAACCAGCATGATAAGGACTCAGTTGCACTGATAAAATGGTGAGAAAAATGGAGAGGAAAAACTTACATTATTCAGTCCAAAATGGAGAGGGAAAATTCACATTATTCAATCCAAAACATACAATTTATCAGAGTTGATAGCTTCAATTTAAACATAGGAGAACCTGCACCCTCATCTGATTACTGATAAAACTAGACTTTCCATTTAGATAAACTTACCACTGTTAGTGTATTTCTATGAAAACATATTACAAACACCTTTAAATGCTGACATGGCAGTATATTTTTTTTTAATTTCAAGATGCACATAAATCCATAACAAAAGGATCAGTGCTTCTAAGTAAGTTGTCACTGCAGAGCTTGGATATGATTAAAGCATCTTACCCAAACACCACACCATCCAATTCATGAAGATTATTCATTACCATAAATAATAGCACCATCAGTATCTGATAACTGTCACTACTGCTGATTCCCAGAACTAAAGAACAAGTATTGTCAAAGACTAATGAAAAGATAGAACTTTAAACTGCTATAACCATAGATAGATACTTGCACATACTTACCCTCATTGTGTCATGTTGAGATGTGTCCACATCAAGAGAAATTGTTAGGTCCTCAGCAGAAAATACTTCAGACATATCAATGCCAATTCTAACAGCAACATCCAAACCAAGACGAGCATTCAGAAGCTGCCTCTGCCTAGCCATCTTCTCTCGAACATCAATACCTGATAACAGGATTAAAACAATACTGGAAACTGTGGTCATAAGCATACAGAATTAATGACAAATGTCCTAGGCTCAAATGTAAAAATAATATTCAACAATCCACTAACAAGTATTGAATCTGTCCAAAAACATAAGACCATGCAGTTGTTGAACATCAAACTGTGAACTGGAGACGGTTTCCAAGTTTTACAATCCACGCATTTCATGCTGCAATATTCCTCCCAGTAAATAAGGTACTACCATAACAGATATATTCAGAATAAAACTATACCTTGATACTCCTCCTCATCAAACTCCTTTCCCTCTGAAGCCATGAGATGAGTGCTGTTGGCTAAGACCCTGTTAATATCAAAGTTGTGGAACTTCAAACGTCCTGCCTGCGACACCAACAAGGACTGTGGATAGCACTCTGCAAATAACATAAAAAACTGCCTTTGTGAATTCACTTGTCTGATTCCTACTTTAAAAGCACAAACTTTGCTTTTCTTACTCACACAAGATGTAAACCACACAATTCAGAAGATAAATAAAACAAAAATAAAAATGGTAATTTTATGCTGAACAAATTGCGATTCAACCTGTATTCTTTTTAACACTTCTTGATGCATACAACTCCCACCATTGCAAAACAATTGACAACAGTTTTCTTCATCTCTGTCCAAAATAACAACTTTAAGGTTTACATCCTTCAGGTACAACAAAATTATTTCATGAATACTGAATGTGATTGTGGTCTACTTAAGACACTATGACAGAATTTTTCAGAAGGAACTATGGAAAACTACACACAAAATAATTATTCTGGGCAGAGATTCAAACCCAGGTCCTCCAAAACATAAAGCACTCAACCACAACATTCAAAATTAGACCAAACGAGTAAAGGTAGGTTCTACACCTCTTTTGATGCTGGATGCTGGGGGATCCCACTGGGGTACATTCTGGATAACAGCCTCCACAGCTTGGCCAGCAGCAATGCGCGTCTCCCAGGCTGGGCTTCGTAAGTAGGTGGTAATCCGAGACAACAGGTGATGTAACTCATGTGGGTGTAAACGTTGCACCTCTCCCAGCTGACGAGCTGCAGCTCGTCGTGTCACACCCGACGAACCCGTCTCCAATAGCACAAATAAACGGTCAAGCCTATAGCAGAAATTTAAAGTTATTACATGTTTCATATGTTAACACATACCACAAACAGCGGAGTTTAAGAGGATGGGTACAGAGTAAAATAAACCAGGGAAAACACACTAACATTTTAAAATAATCATCCCAAATTTTGCAAGGTGAAGTTGTCCTTTGCTTAGACACAAAAAGAAATGTGTTGCAGAATCTATAAAACTGAGATGCATTCAATCAATCCATATTCAAATAAACTGGTATTAGGACTAATACACAATACATATTTTTTCACCACAAACTAGATTTCAATGTTGTATCATACTGATTCACAAATCAAATGTACTTGCCTTGATGTCATTCTCAAGAATGAAGTCAAACCTAATTAGTTTAAATTCTGCAGGACTTATGCCTCAACAAATACTCCTGCCTAAAATGCCTGGTTCCATCTGAAATTATTTAAAAAAATACACATAAAGATTGTGCAAGATCCTACATAATAACACAAAACAACAATACCTACTTATTTGTTTACACAATATTTATAAAAAGTTATCACATGCCAGAACATCCATTAATGTAAACTGGCTTCCAACATATGGAAAATAGAACTGCTATCCATGAAGTAGGTTACAGTAGTCATCACGCTTGAGTCATCAATGTATGGAAATACGATGATTGATTATAATAATTCATGTATTTCTCCATGTGCCACGGAGGGTTACAACGGCTTTTCATAACTTAGAATGACGTTTTCATACACTGTTTTCCCTTAACCCACTGCATCACAGAAAACAAACCGCTTCCAGATGCTAACAAACAACTAACAAGTTCCAATATACTCATGAATAATACGTAGCTATAACTTTAAAAAAAACATGAAAAAATATCTTACCTCAGAATATAAAATGCTAACTTGTTGAAAACGACATTATCCAGGTTTTGTGTCCACATATATCATATACCTTCTCAAAATAAAAGCATAAACACAGATTGCGAAAAGTATTTTTAGGAGAGAAAGGCATCGTACAACACTCACATTTATACTGACAGCCATATTGCTGATGAGTCCGAATTTATGCAATAGTTGCAGGGTTGCCAGATATTAACGAATTTAATTCGGCAAATTTCCCTAGTACGTCTCAATTACGTCAATGAAGGAGAATAACAAAAATCACTTTTATATGCTTTGCTGGTGCTTAACATTTGCATAATATTACTGAGTTCTAAAATGAATTTTCGGCCAAAGTCTACACAAATAATTCTATAGGAGGAGTCCTCAAACCATTCAAAACATTATCGGAATATGACAGCCTGATATGTAGCCAACAATAACATGCACACCACATTGACCTTCTTTTATATTTATATATATATATATATACACGGCAAATGATTTCTTAAACTGTTGAATAGTAAATTCTACATTGGTAATCTATCAGTGCTAATAAGGATATAAGTCACTTTTTCCAGTCGGTAAGATAAAGTATTTAGGGAATGTGCGAATGCATCATGTTGGTACAATCTAGAGATTACCAACATAGGAAAAATTTATAAATCTATGCATGCATTGGACACCGATGGAATGTAGTTCGTAGTTAAAATGGAACAATTCAGTGAATGCGATGGTAAAGCAAGGGTATTTCACCCCCGTAAGCGTGTAAACAGAAAGACGAAGCTTCTGTTAGCCTTCGATGAAAATGCAAGGAGGTAAGCTGTTAGTTACTTAGTGGTCCCATAATAATATAATTACAGTAATGGCAGGCACTAAAACAGCCTCACATAGGGACTTGTTTAAGAAATTTAATATCTTTCAGCAGCAAGATAATTCTTTCTCCCATTATCATTTGTAGTTGACAACATTGAACAATTTCAAATAAATTCAAATCTCCATAATATAAGTACGAGATACAAATATGACAATCATATGCCAAACTAAACTTCGTAAATATTAAAAAGGAGGGAACTATACTGGAATTAAGCCATTCAGTATAAAGTCTCAATCATAACATGAGAATTTTAAGCTACCAGTAAAAGAATCTCCTATTTTACTCCTACTCCATAGAAGAATTTACATCTACCAAAAATTCTTAGCTATTGTGTGTGAATAGCAGAACCATTTCTTGTGCAGGGAGTTCCTTACTGGTTTCCACAAAAGAAAATTACAGCGAAAGAAGAAGGCTCAAGAGGAACTAAAGCAACAGTTAAGGGAAGAGAGGAAACGAGTAAAACAGGAAGTACGTAGAGTATCAAAATAAGGTCGTTTTCCTTATTCTTGTTGAAATTTTTTATACAATATTGTATTCTTTGATTACAGGCCCGGGAGTCATTTAAAAAACTCATAGTGTCACATCGCCCAGTCCCGGAATTGGAGAATCTTATCTCTAAAAATTATGAGCTTGAAACCCATTCTGTGAGCATACAGGAGCTTTCAGTCTCTGACCTGGCAGAGAATAACAACTGGATAGGAATCAATAAGGTATCTAATTAAAATTGACATTTATATTTAAAAATTTAGTGCTGCTCTTTATAAAGACCGATATTATTGAACAGTTTCTGGTACTTTGCAATATGAAATATTGTGTGTACCAACTACACCTGACAATGGTCAGCATAATATTAGTATAATGGATGAATGTCTGATACCTTTGGAGAGAGAAACTATATGAGAATAATTTGTATTGTATAAAGTCATTGATATTTGGACATATAAAACACTGCACTTCAATCAAATTTTCCTTGTGACAAGTGGCATTGGGTGTAAATATCATGTAAACATTAAATAAACAACCTGACATTTAAGAAGAAATACACCAATATGTTAGCTAAAATAAGTCAATGTTCTATACTTTTATTTAACATGCAATAAAGTATAGGACCTAGAGATACTGACTGTTACAGTCTGTTGGATATCACACCACATTTTTTGACATACCTAGTTCAAATCTTTGATGCAGACAGCTACCCTAACAGGGATTTTCAGTTCCTAGATAAAAAAAAGGTGACAATTGTTTCTTTCAGTTCTCCTATTCATGATTACAACTCAAACCATTATGTGCAAATCAAGAAATTAGAGGTAGTTAGCAGAACATATTAGTGTATAGTGCAATGCAAAAAATTTGAAATGCACAGCTTTAATAAAGTACAAAATTTACTCTGAAAGTAGGACTGTAATTAAAAAAAGTATAAGCATGTGAAAAATGAGTTAAGATTCAGTATTGAAACCTACACCAAGATATCATTATGCAAGGCAGTATCAGAAAATGGCTCTGAAGATAAAAATGTTGCAGGTGCAATATGAAGATGAAAAGAATGATGACGGGGTTGCAAAGGAAGATCAACAGAAAGCTGAATTACCAGGAATGGAGTTGAAAACAAGAAAGGATGTCAAGAAGATAATAAAAAAGCAGGCCACCAAACAAGTGCAGAAAAGTAAGGCTTTCAAACTGAAGAACAAGATAGAAAGGCAAAAGAACAAGAAGGAATCACTTAAAAAAAAGAAAAAAAGGATTAAAACCCAGTCCAATTCCAAAAAGGTTAGAAAACACGGAAAGAAAAGGAAGTGATATATGACCGGCTACATGTGTGGTGATGTAATTATTTATTTGCTTAATAAAATGGGAGTTTTCAAAGCTGATAATGTTGGAGACTATTGCTTGCCCCTGGAATGCAACTGACCAAAGGGACAGAGATTTCTGTTGAGACAGGTACTGCAGAGTGGATTCACAGGCTTGCATAGCTGCTGACCAAATCCAACCATCAAGTTATTTACCTCATCCCACAATTCTGTTGGAAGCCATGCCTCCAGTGCAATACGTGTTGCTTCTGGTGTCTTGGTAGCCTTTTTGACCCAACCCAATCTGTTTGAAATCCTGTGGACGTGTGTGTCCACTCCTAAAACCAAAACAAGAGATAAATTAATAAGAAAACAGGTATCTATTGATCTTACCTTTTAAGAAATGAGTCTTGCTGATCAAATTTGTCTTGTATGTATGATGTATTAAAATAAAGGCTGCATAACCTTTTATACATTCTTAAAGTTGACTTGCAACTTTACCTTCAAGCTCAATGCTTAATTATTTTGCTGCACCATTTAAATTCACTGTTACCAAGCCAATTAATTTAAATGCTCTTTGTATAATCTTTTCCTGCATTAAGCATGGTAGAGGACATTTAATATTATTTTTTTTAGAGTTAAAACATCTTGTTCAGAAGCAATACTTTCTAGCATGTAGCCATCACATTCAGTTTATAAATTCCAAGTATGTAATACCTCAGTATGTAATGACTGTTGGCCAGATGGATGAAGGATCTTTAATCAGCCAAAAATGACATTTTCTGGATTAAGATACAGTATGGCCTGAAGACAGAGACAGTATGTTTCCCCCAGTTTTTGGTAAAAAGAAATGCTTATTTACAGTGGCAGCCCATCCATCAGAGCTTCAGCACCCCCTATAATTTTTCAAAAATTGAAGAAAAAATTTTGTGTTTATATAATTTGTAACACTTTATTTCCTCTATATCATTATTTTAATATTGCCCCTTACATTGTCATTATCCACTAATTGGCTGAAATGAGAGTAAGTCCGCGGGCGAGGAGTGCGAAGCAGATTGGGGCTATCATCCGGCCGCAAGGATTTCAGTGCAGCTAGCCAGTCAAAAGGCGAGCGCGGTGGGTGGTGGAGTGAGGGACAGTTCACTGGTACAGTGCGTCTCCGTGCTGCAAGGTTCGCAGCTCTGTCTGCTTGTCACAAGTGGACAGCGCAGTGTGAGGTGGAATGAGGGGTAGTTCACTGGTACAGTGCAGATCGGAGCTGCAGTTCCTGCAGCTGGCTTATAGTAAACACCCTTGCCCAGTACCACGTGTTTTAGACTGGTTTCTGTATCACAAACTGTTTCGTGGTTATTGTTAATGTGTGTTCAATAATTCTGTGTGCTGACTATTTTTTGTTCTAATAATGACAATGAGCAAAGTAAGAGTATCATATTTTCAGCAAATTTCTTTTTCTAAATTGTCTTTGAGTGAAAAAAGTGATGTAAAAAAAATCATGGCCACCCTCTTCCGGACTTACAAATAGTTGAAACATGATCGAACACGTATGGGTTTTCTCCAGATGTATATTTACTTTTCATTTATTTATACTGTCATGTGTTGAAAAACTATTCTGAGTTTTCCCCCTTGCACAGCACTACCAATGGTCAGACTCATTTATTTACTAGTTCACTGTGATGGAGACTCCTCACCTATTCCAGTAAGTATTCCCCAAGCTGTCTTCATACATAAGTGAGCCATTTTGGGTCCAACACCAGGCAACTTACACAGTTTCTCCACGCTGTCCGGTATATCTCCATCATATTCATCTTGTAGAATCTGTGTGGTCCTTTTTATATAATTCACCTTACTCTGAAAGTGTAAAATGCATCAGACTGAAATATATTCTACCACAATGAGAGTTACGAACTAGAATTAAACTTAACAACTCACAATGAATACCATGGATCTTTTGGCTGTGGTCACTATGCAACTTACTGTCATGTAATAAACTATCATTTTGCTATCACAAGCAATAATTATCAATCTTTAGTGAGCAACTTGTAGCAACATAAACACTTATTACCAATTCTTTACAACTCAGAAATACATTTTGATCCTTGCCCCTATCTTGTGCTTCCTTATGATGTAAGCCTACAGTTGTATTATACACATCAGCCTCTGATTATACAAACTTTAAAAAAGAGTCAATTCTAAATGGATAAGTAATATGAGAATGTCAAGTAAATATGAAATATAGAAACATACATAATAAAATTCTCAAATTTCATAAAAACAACAGCATGTAGTTTCATTTTAAGTTCTAAAACTTCAATTTTAACATCATAACACATAATTCTAAGTTTGTACAAACAGAGGTTCATGTGCATAATGTATCTCAGACAGGATGGCCCATGGTCCAAAATATTTTTACAGAGAAATAAATAAATGCTGATAAATGTTGCTGGAAGGACTACATGAAAGAGTATAATAAATAACATTACAAAATATATTCTCAGACTGAAAATAGATAATGTCTTTATCATTCACATGGCATACATTGTTGGCCTGTGGCTAATCATAATAAAGCATGGTACTGAAGTGTAAATACCTTCCAAAATGAAACTGGATATATCAGTTGTCCAAGAGTTTTGTCATCTGTATTGAGAACATTGGGCACTGTCAGTCCGTGCTGCCGAAGTTTCTGCATGGCTGCATATGTCACTGCATCTTTTGTTTGACTGGACAACATAAGAGATACTAAGGAGTGGTACCTTGTTTCCTGCAATAAAATATAAAAGCTTCAATTTGAATGTTGGTCATTGCTCTTTGCCTATGATATAAGTTTCTCTAGCAGAATAATGTGATCTTTCTGAGGAAAAATTAAATATGTAAAGATGCAAGTAAAGTATAGGAAGTAAATGCACTAACCCAAATTATTAAAATTTTGTTATGAAAGTAAAAGCAGTAATTATTTCTTCATATATTGACCTTAAAAAGATTTCTGGGCAAGGTAATCCACAACTTTTCCATTCTCTAAATTCTCACACAAGCACCTGCCTATTTAAATCTCATCAACGCAGAACGAATATAACCCAATTTGCTTATATTAGAGAAAAACATACGCAAATGACTATAGAAACTGAGGTACTTAATAATAACGTCACTCCCTACAAATGTTCACAGCACATTATACAACAATATTAGTAATTATCATGTACCTTAGGTGGGGCACTTTCATCTGCACATTTATCACATCCCATTGTATCCACTGGAGCATCTCGTTGCCTCCTCATTTCTCGTATATTATTAATAACTTCACGCCAATTATCTGGCTCCCACTTTAACTTCTTACTTTCAGTTCTGGTGGCCCCTGAAACACTTCCCTTTAAACCTTCTTTCTGCAGGGAGTCGTTCAACATCCGTTCTTCGTAAGCTATCGACAAGTGTTGTCTTTTGGAAGTTTTTTCTTTAGTACTACCTTTTTTCAAAATTAAAAGTTCATTTTCGCGAGAAGACTTTTCTTTTTGATCCACAGGTTCTTCAATGCGAATCTGGGAACCTATTTGTTTTCTGCTACGAAATGAATACTTCTTTGATAGCTCTGTCCCGATGACCTTCCCAGCTTCTGACAACATATTATCTCAGTATTTTTACTTTGTATACAATAATCTTATTCTAGATCATCTGTTAGAAATCTGAAATTCGAAATCTGCATTAAGAAGAAATAAGTACCAGACTTTCCTTCCTCACACTTCACTTCGTAAATGTGCCACAAACTTTAAAGAGATGGCCGCCCGAAGGTTAGGCAACTTACTTTCGGAAATTAATCTACAGACAAAACAAAGTTCCCCATTTGAAGAAAGTGGTAATTTTACGGTCAGCCAGGCCTATTACATGCACTCGGTCTCCTACCGTAGAGTATCGGGTTCCTTCCTAGGGAAAAGCGGCCAGGGCGTATGGCTAGCCATTTACAAGCATCTTATGCTGATATTAAGAATGTGAATACCTCCACTTCCCCATGCTTCTGCATGGAATGAAGTATAGATACAATTTTATTTTCTAAGGAAAGGCACCAGCTGCTTCCATTTTTAGAACTTCATACTTTATTATTTGCTGATGACCAGGTGATAATGTCAGAAACAGAGGATAATTTACAGAAAGCTACATTTAGATTAAATAAAGTTATAACAGAATATGGATTAACAATCTCAGTAAAGAAAACAATCAATAGCATTTAAAGGACTGAATCTATTAAGAAGTAAAATAGTAATCAACAACCAAACAATAGAACAAGTGAATACTTTCAACTATTTACGAAATTTGATTTCATATGAAGGAGAAAAAGACATCAGTCACAACTTAAACAATTATTTGAAAATAACAGGCATAATAAACAATGTGTTTAAACAGCACTTGTTACCCGCAGCAATTCTTGCTTTTATTTCTGCAAGAAGAAATCTCATACCTTCCAGTAAACCTACATTAACATGTTTCTTTACAAAAAAAAGTAATTGAAACAATTAGTTCTCAAACAACTGTAACTGATCAATAATAGAATTTCTATAGAGTACTACAGCAAATGTAACAAATCCAAGTGTAAGTGAATATCCTTTATTTGGAATCTTACTTTGGTACTAGGTCAATAAGCACCATGATGCTCAGCTTCGGTTTGCTATTGTCATGTCACACGGTGTCTGAAGGATTGGAAACATCCAAAATCTCAAAATTACTCTTTTACCAACCAAAAGAAGAAATTATGTTATCAGTATTAATGTGTTTTGATATCTTTAAAAACTCACTTTTGTGCTACACTTAATTTTCAGTGAAATAATCATGGTGTCCCTACTTACACCTGAAGTTCCCCTGCCATGTACCACACTTGATATTACTTTGCAGAACAGAATGAAGGAAATTATGAAAACAGATGGAGTGACAGACAGTGTAGATAAAAAACTTTATTAGAAGTATACAATATCAATTAATTACATACACACTTCACTGTTCATGGTTGCTGAACTAGTTTCTTGAATGTGGACACCATGCTGTACAGAAGTGGTCTGCAAATATAAATTATTGAAATACAAAAGTCCATAGAATGTACGTGATGGGAAGGAATATGAATGTCTCATCTTTCCTTTTTTGACAGATGGTACTGATCAAAGGAGTGGATCCTGTGGCTCTGTTGAACAGTAACAGTCAAGTTTTAGCAATAATACTCATAAATGAGACCACTAATGAGCACTGAACTCCCTCAGCATTGCAAATTTTGGCAGTAGTGAAAAACACATTACGAGGAAAGACTTAAATCTTCCATAAACCTCTAACCTACTTAAACTGGTCAATAAAACAAAATTTTACTTGAGGTAATATCTCCAGCTTACCTGACACCACCCTATTCAATCAGTTATTGTGTCAGTGACTGTAACGTTGTGCTAGTGTGCCAAAATAATGGAAATTATAATTACGTTCAGTCATAAATAAACTGTAAATTAAATGGACCCATTCCAAAGACCGGTTGATTTATTAATATGTCTAATAATGTTAGTAAAACTTACAGTTCTGATGCCCATGTACTGTCAGAAACACCAACACTACGAGTCAAGGATGTTCTATCTAATGGTTCGACTGGCATACCCGATTCTGAAAATAATTTTTGTAAATTCGCTAATTAAACTTCGCCTGAAAAATCACCTATTACAGAAGAGTTTAATAAAAATAGTATCTTACCTGCAACCAAAACTGAAGTAGTATAATGATAACCATTCCACGTCAAAAATTCCCGAATTAATTCATTAATAATTAAGGTTTCACTTGGAATTTCTGGTTTACTATTTGAATTAGATTCTGGTTCCAGCACCTTCATAATTTCAGTTTTAAGTTCTGCTTTAATTTTACTTAATTTTCCACTTTTATGCAGATTTTCTCTTATAGCTGAAAGAAAATAACAAAATTAAACTACAGCTCTGAACTTTACTTTTAACACCAAAATGAATAACACCTCTTACCGTTTAAAAATTCGTCTTCTGATGCCATTAGTCTTAAATTCGCCCTCGTCATATAGTCCACTTAAAAAAGTGAAATTTCTCGAAGCAAGAAATTCGTCTTGGAACGGGGGATGTTGGTATCGCAGTATATGACGTCACGCCACTATTTCCATCTATCCGCAGCGGTCGTGAAGCTGGCAGTAATAATTGTTGGCCACTCGCAACGACTCAGTCGGTAACGATGACTACTTTGACTGCTGCTTTCAGTGTTGAAGCACATACCTATATCAGACTTATAAAAGGTTTATGGAATGTAAATAAATTCTATTCTATACTATTCTGTCCTCTTCTGTGGTCTGGTACATGTTTACCAACGTTTCATAGACAGCTAGTATCCCTGAAACATTGGGAAACTGTCAGCTGTGGAAACTCCATCTCTCAAAACTTCAAATTAATTTTTACAGAAAAGGTAAAACATCCTGTAACGTGTGTTTGGGTCCAATCAAAAAGAGTCTCTGCTTAGTGAGAGATAATCAGACTATTGTTTACAGTACCTTTAACAAGGCTTGCACACAAAATAAACTTATATTGGCTTTGGCATTCAGGACATAAAATATAGACCTCATTAAGATCTATCGATTTTATTTAAAACACTTACTGATACTGTGTACTGATAATGAATTACAAGAAAAATATCAGACTCTGCAGTATAACTGTATGCAGTGTGCTTTAAATTCTTAATAACTGTAGCATGAATGGTTTGCAGGATTTGTCTGCAATTAATGAACTAACATCAAGACCAACAAGGATATCACAAATAATGCATTTGGAAAATATCTGTACTCTACCGAAGTACACTTAAATTCCCACTGAGTATAAGAAGGACATTGTACACACAAGTCAGAAGACTGAACACAACACACAACTTCAAATGAATATAAAAACACAGAAAAAGAAAAGAGACTGTTAATATTTCAAGTTTTACTACAAAATTCAGCAAGTGACACATATGGTAACAAACTGTATATGAGTTGCAGTATGTACACTTGTACGTGCTGAGTTGTTCTACACTGCGTGCATCAAGTTGTTTTGAAACAAAGCAGCATTTCATTTCTCTTTGATTAAAAACATGGCACACTCTAGACTCCAGTTATATCCACTAACAGGTCCATTACTTGGGAATATTGAAGTGCCAGCAGTGTCACAACCAGACACTCTTATTTCTAACACTTCATTATCTGAATTCATGTTGAAGTAACAAAACATTCAGTAATACCGCTTGAAGACATGCTCTCACTTATATAAATTATACAATACTAGGCTCTACAATTACAATTGCCTGCTTTATTTTAATAACCATGCACGCAATGCTGCAAGCTGAGGCCTTCTCCCAGCTTTCATAATGCATTGCACAGACGGCACCTTGCTGGATGACTTTACAGTGGTGCCAAAAAATACACAATACTACACATTCTGACCAGGATATGCAGAAGGATTACCCAAGAAAGAATTAAACTTTGGATAAATGAAATGATACTGTTTTGCACATACCTCAGTTGAACATCTTGCCTGTTTATACAAGTTTATCACCTGAACAGGGACTAGAACTGAACACTTGATGCCAATTAAATGTGAAGTACCATATTCTACCTCTGACACATGACATTTAAACAGTTTTGGATACTGTTAATTTTATTCCAATCTCATTAGCAAACTCTACATATTTTAAATAAGGCACTGAAAAATACCAGATACCAGTTGAAACTAATAATGAATATAAAACATCATTTCAAAAG